TTTTAGGTCCTGCGGAATAGGGATCTGCATTGGTGTGGAAATAAAAAATTTAAAAATTCAAAAAGTGACAGTGGACTCTAGCAGCCTAAGGGCGAGTGGAGAATCACTACACCATAGCAGATTAATTTTATTGCGGTCACACAGGTATGGACTGTGTACACAGGAGGAGTGTATAAGCACTGCGCACAGTGCAATACGCGTTGAGCGCCCGCACTGGTGTAGAATTTATTCATTCGATTGAAGAATGCTGATTTTTCAATTATTTCTAAAATAAAGAAATTTTCTACTTCGAGACCAATGCAGATCACTTTTTCACGGGACCTTTTAATTGATTAAAGTTTTGGAATCGGACAATTCAATAAATTAAAATGTATAAGAAATAGATAAAAATTTTTTAGAATAGAGGAATTATAATAACAATGTCAATATATAATTAGAGATAAATAAATTTAAATATTCATAGTTTAAGAAAGGATATGTAAATGTAGAATTCTAATTATCTATTTTTTTTAACTTCGATATTGAATAGATTTATTAAAATTGAAAATTTGAAAAAAATATATTTTTTTCTATCTACTTTCATATTAATATTGTTTATACATTGATAAATTATTAATTTATTACGTTTTAATTAATAATCATTTAATTTTTTCATAGATAATTATGATTAAAAAAACAAAAAAAAAATACATCTAGCTGGACTCGAACCCGAGACGGCAAAAGTAATAACCGAGCGTGCTACCGCTGAGCTACGGGATCATCATGAATATAATTTCATAAATTTATATTTTAATCATGATAAAAGGGTGGCTTGCCCATTAATTAAAGTACTTTTTTTATTTAATTGATATTCAAGTGCTAAAAAGCTGAAAAATAATAGCACATCCATTTTTTTTGTAATATGTTGAAACAAAGGAATATACTTCCGCTTCATTCACTCGGGTCGACTGTTTGTCGACGACTGCTGCCTGTTACATCGGCAGCTATCTTAAATTCACCCCTGCGACACCTGTGGTCGGAGTTCGTACTAACGTGCTCAGGGTACGGCCTAAATGCCCTCTGTAAGCTTCTATAAGTGTCTGTATTCGCTGGTAGAGTGATCCAGAACCCTCCCTACCTATCTAGCAATATACGAATTTGGTTCCTTCATGTATGACAGATATTTGATTGAATACAGTTTCTAATTCCATTATTTAATAGTTTTATTGGGAGAGGGTGTTCTTAATAACCATTTAATTAAATTAAAATATTATTTAACTTTTCTATAAACCATTTAATACATACAGAGAAATAGTTTAATTTGAATCGTAATAAATTGTTTCTATATAAACAATGGAAGTAAAAATCTGTACTGTGTGGGACTGTGTGCTTTTTCGTCTCATCTACTTGTAGCTCTAGAGTTCACTTAGCGTTAGCGTATACTGCAAATGCTGTAGGGTCTCTACATTTCAGATTTCTAAAACTAATCATTTGATTTCCTTCCTCCTAAGAAAACATCATTCGATAGCTCACTAGGCTTGAAGGATTCCTAATCCTAACCTAGTAGAAAATAGATTGATTTTTTTCATTATCTTTCGGTTACTCAGCACTTTAATTGATACAGTTTTTGATTTTGCGTCAAAATATTTTATTTCTTAATTTTAAGATTGAATTTATTTGAAAAATATTGAATTTTGCAATTTATAAATTACACCATCTTCTAGACGAAATTTCAAGATCTTTTAAAAATATGAATTTTAAATCATTGAAATACTTGTATAAAGATATGATTACAATTTTTCTAAAAAAAATATATTTTATATTTGCATTTTTCTTGAAACAGTTTTCTATTTTGACCCCGTCGTACAAAAAATATCCTTTCTCACTTTTTGAAAAAATTTTCCCCAACTTTTAAAACTTTCAACTTTTAAATACAAAAAAATGGTAGAAGACTTTTCGTTAGCAAAGGTTCTTATCAATAATAACATGAAAAAAAAATTTTTAATTCTAAAAATTTTCAACTTTAAAGTCATTTTTCGCGAAAACTATGATGGATGCGAGAAAATGTTTTATACAAAAAATTGTAGAGTTTCATATGATCTACAACTTTCATCTATAATAATTTTCAATATCTATTATAGTTTTTACTTAAAACGTTAAAAAAGGGATTTTGGAGAAATTTTCTTCTTTTTTATCCTGACGCTGGGTTTGCAGCCCTCTAAAAAGTATTCCCACTTAAATCTAGCATACCTAGGAATATTTCAGCCAAATTTGATCGAGGTTGAAAAATTGCCATTTCAGGTCTAACTTGACGGGACTAATGAAGTGCACGCAAGTAAATAACATTTGTTTGCAACAATTGTTTCTCATGATCACTCGTTTGATAATTTAACGACACTGAATTAAAATACGCGATATTGTCTGTGCATATATTGCACCATCGCAGAATCACATTGTTACTTGGAGCATTGTGCTTCAGGAGTTCCACGTATGCTTTTCTAATTTTAACAATAATATTATAATATCCATGTTTATTCTTTTCGAGCTGTATTTCGTTATCACGACACTTTTCCTTCGTATTCTCCGTTCTAAAGATAAGATTCTCGGAAAAATGCATAATTTAACAACAGCATAGCTTACAGCTACTAGTAACGACGAAGTTAGTAATCTAGCACGGACACAAACCTCAATCTGTTATATTGTTAGGGCGGGGGAGAAGTGGGGGGAGCACGACCAGTACATTTACGATTAGAAAATACTTGTTTCTTTCGGATAGTATATAGGGTGGTTCAAAATGATTTTTACAAAAGTACTATGTAGAAACGGGAAAAAATTTTATCCGGAGGAAGTCACGGATAAATAACAGCTAATCCAAATTACATATTCAATGGCAATAAAATGTCAAAATGTCTTTTGTTATCAATTAACTTTTCATCATCATTTGCAATCCAGCCTGTATTATCTTAATAATTTGATTGACTTAGATAAAGTGATAGATATCCTTTAATGACACTTGTAAGACTAACATTTTTATTGCGATCAATCTCAATGCCATTTAATTCATATCGTATTTTTTCGAATCAGTAACATAATGCCATGTTTACGAATCTCGTTGTTGCAGCTACAGCTGTGTCATTAGCTGGCACTTCAATGATTGTATAATCTGGTGGAACTGATGGGAAGAATTCATGAATTGTATACACTAATTTATTATTAATGTATGCTTCTGTTGTAATATTGCACTCGATTCTCAATGCATTCATTTTCAAGATGAAAACTGGTGAATCCGACGTCTGTGTTTATTTTGGCGAAATAAGTCTTGGGCCGAAACCTAACAGACGACCAATAGAATTATCTGGCCTGAAATTTATTGTATCGTTATCACTGTAAATTTTTACTGTGCAATTCGCTGCTGTCAGGTTTAATGGAGATTGGCAATTTAGGATAAACTTAATTTAAATAATATTCAGGATCTTCCTGTTTTATAGCTTCCTGTTAGTATTTCAATAATTTTATCTGGTTTATCCATATTATAATGGACTTTATTTTTTCCATTCTCAATATTAGGGATAGAGTTGAATGTTAATAATTCAACACGACCCAATACATAATTTTTTGTCCTTGTTAATTCGATAGGTGGAAAATAATATGCCTTTAATATGGAGGACTGTCTAGACAGCGTTATCGTGAACGAATCATCCATGATTGAAGTACTTTTATTCATGTTCACTTCTCATACATCGTTGACATTAAATTCCATACCAAGTCCCCAAATGCCTTCAACATTTTGTCTGAGAAACTTTAAACGTAAATGTCCGTAATTTGTTGTTGAATAATTTTGTCACTTTGTATGATTATGGAGTATGCTACCAACATCGAAATATTTTTGAAGTTCAGATGGAAGTTTCAAATTACTGAAGCTATCAAAGTATATTGTTTCATTTCCTCGTTTTTTATACGCCACCCAGTGAGTTTCAGGTCCATATTTATCGTCAAAATTAATAATAGCTGATTCATATTTTCATGGTTTAGTTTTCGGTTAATCATTTCTCATGGAAACTTCACAAAAATATGGAATGCATACCTTAAAATATCAATGTTTGTTAATGCTCAATGTGGTAGCTTTACATGTTTTTTTTCGCTGGTTTTAAATGAAGACCGTATTCTCGTTTTTGACGTTTGAAACGTGAACCTCCATTCAAGGCTATTGCTTCCATTTTCTGGTTGTGACGTTTTGCTTCATCCGATTGATGATGAGTAGCTTTAGCATTATTAACTGCATTTTCAATACCTGAAGCTCCACCAGCTAAATTACCGATTGCACTGAGACAGGCTAATATCGGTATACGTGGTAAAACACCTCCAACCTTACTAGGTACAGGTAGGGGAGAGTGGGGGAATCAAGGACGCGAAGAAATCACGGATATGGTCGTTTGGCTATGTTAGAAAAGGATAAAAGATATTCCGAGTGATGCAATCGTGAGTTGATTCCGAACGTAGTGCCGAACAAAGAGTGGTGGAACAACAACGCACTCAGCGTACAAGGTATGTTAACTTTTTGTTTTTTCAACAATTTCATATAATTTTCGACTAAAATTGAATAGATATATAATATTTTAGGAGTAACATAGAAATTCGGTATCTTTTTTATGAATTAACGTCTAATTCATCAATGTTTTTAAGAACTTGCTACGTGTATCACGCGATTCTAACCTAAGAAAAAATATAGTTTTGTGTTACCGTGTCTGTTAGGCAATGACGGACGATTTCAGTGGGGTAATCCCGACCGTTCGTAATTACCCCTATACAATCAAATCATTGTCTTTTATTTTATAATTTATGTCCAGCAGTCGACTGCGTTGCGCTGATAATAATGATGAATTTCGATGAAATACATTGGTGAAAGTTTGTTTGTATGTCTTCTGCTTTCAGCCCTGTATCTTCACGAACTTATTTATAAAAAAGAGTTAGAAGAACATATCATAAAATGCAGTAAGCTATTGTACGGTTTGACCATAGAAATGGTTCGGAAAATAGCTTTTAAATTTGCCGGAGTAAATCATTTGAAGCACAATTTTGACAAAACATCCCAAATGGTAGGAAAGGATTGGTTCTACGGGTTTCAGAAAAGACATCCCAATATTTCGCTACGTAAACCTGAGTCCACGTCCATCACTAGAATTAAAGCTTTTAATGAAACAGAAATAAAAATGTTTTCCGACAATTTGGATGCTTTGCAAGCAAAACACCACTTTGATCCTTATCATATTTACAATGTTGACGAGATAGGCATATCTGATGTTAAAAAAAATTCTAAAATTTTAGTGCCAAAAGGCCAAAAACAAGTCGGAATGGCAACAAGTGGTAAAAGGGGCTCTACAACAACAGTTGGTTGCGCCTTCAGTGCTTCTGGGAAGTATATTCCTCCATTTCTTATTTTCAAAAGAGAGCGAATGAATGCTCAATTGTTAGGTGGAGCCAATGCTAACATGATAGCAGCCGTTAACGATTCGGGTTGGATCAACGAAAACCTATTCGTAGCCTGGTTACATCCAGTATTGTTATTCCTTCCACCACCAGATCACATCGAATGCAATCATTGGACTTGACTTATTTCGGACCTTCCAAGATTGCATACAACAGAGAATGCGACTTGTACATGGCCTCAAATGTAGGTCGAAAAATTACCCAGTATGAAGTTGTCGAACTTTTCACTAAAGCTTTTAACCGCATCAGCAATATAGAGAAAGAAGTAAACAGTTTCCAGACAACTGGTATTTGGCCAATAGATCCAAATAAATATGATAAACATTTTGTAGATACATTACCACCTAAAAAATCCATTGTTAATTTGCAAGCTGACAGAGCGTTGACACTTGATGTGCGAATAGCATCAATATCAAATGTGGAAAAAACAGTCAAACCTGATTCACATATAGTATCGACATTAAATTGAAGATATCGTTAATGATTCCAAAATGCCACAACTAAAAAAAAAATTTCAGAAAGAAACATTCAGCTATAATAACCAGTAGTCCTATAAAAAATGTTTCAAAAGAAAAAGAAGAAAGAAAGAAAAATAAAGGGCACATTAATCACGTTAATTGCAAAAACATTGACAATATTTTCATGTTATTAATGCTGGTGGTAATGGTGACTGCTTTTTCAAATGCCTTGCTGTCTCTCTTGAAATGAGAAGTTGTTATAAAACGAGACAGCAATTTGTCTCTCATGTCACGAATAATTGAGAACAATATTGTGAAGAAGCTACATTTTCCTTATCAATAAATAGTGCGAGTGCTGATAAAAGTGAAATGAGATCTCAAAGGTGTTTTGCATCAATGCTTGAGTTTTGGCAACTTACAATATGAGGGATGTACATTTAATGATTAACGAATTTACAGTCGTATAGATGTGAACCAGGCTGGCTCAACGCTACGAATTTTCTATCTCTTAATCCCTATAAATAGAAAAGTCATAAATTTTGAAATTAAAAGAATAATGTAAAATAGGCGCTCTCATAATTGCCCACTCACTTTGTTATGATAAAATAATATTTTTAATAGTATCCAATGGTAGATTGTATATTCTTTCATTAATTCGTCAATTTTTATTCCTTAATTTTCATCAATAAAGAAGTTATTAATTTTAAAATTTAAAAGAATGATGTAAAATGGATCGTTTGCTCTCGCTTGACGCTCTCATAATTGCCCACTGACTTTGTTACTCTTAATTAATATTTTTAATGATATCTGATAAAAGATCATATATTTTTTTATACCTCTGTCAATTCATGTTTAGAAATTCTACTTTAAAAATAATAAAAAAAAAAACTTACTTAATATTTATAATATAAAGTCAAAGTAGTTATTGACAATGCTGGAAACTTTCATTGTTAGGATTCTGTAGGTTTTTCGTTATTAAATCTTAAAAACTTCCATTTTAAAAATTAATAAAAAAAAAAGTTTACTTGTTTTTTATAAAAAAATAAGTTTGTTTTTGTTAACAATGTGGTTGTTAACAATACTAGAGATTTTTATTAGTATAAATCCGCAAGTTTTTTTGCTATCAATTTTTTTATTGTTATGTATGACATCAGAAATGTCAGCTTCTTTTACTGCAGGAAAATATTTCGGTTATACATTTTTTTCCCCAAAAATCTTTCTTTGTGGTCCTACGCTTTTAAGCACATGTAAAAAAAATTGTGTGCCACATAAGTAGCATTTGCTATAAAATTTAATCTGTTGTTATGCAAACACTTGAGAAGAAAAGGTTTATGACTGTCCAGTAGTAATCCTAATCGACGTCATAAATACTTACTATAAATTTTCAAATTGTTGTATTTCCAAGACTTCTCTTCTTTATACTTTGCATATATCTCTTGTTATTCATTGTCTTATTATGAATAAAACAAATCTTGTGTTCTTCTTCTATCTTTAATTTTAACTGAGATACTGCTCATCGCTTTTCTATTAATTATCTCAATTATTCATTATTATTTCTTAATTTTTCCTGGCTTATCTCTATTCCAAACGTCTGAAGTGTTCAGAAAAAAATTGGCAACTTCCTATCTTGACTCCTTGAATTGTTATTAACAATCAAAGGTGGATGTTCAAAAAACTTGCCCAAAAATTATCATTCTTTTCTCTTTTAACTCCTACAACTTGTGGAATAAATTTTTTAGCGCTACGAAATTTGGACACGATGTGCAGAATTGTATTCCCCTCAAGTCAAAATTTTTTTTTTACACTATTTTTTTCTTTGTCCTACCTACACCCTTCCAAAGTCAGAAGACTATACTTCTGAACTCGACAGTACTTTTGTTTTCTTATCAATATCTGATTTTATATTGAAAATTTATTTATGTTGCTCATTAAAACTTAAGGTTGATTAGTTAAAGTAAACGTGAAGTATTGAATGACATTCGTAACCTAATCTGGTTTTGTTCAATTCTAGTTTCCCTTTAAGTGTTCGTAATTACCCCACTCGCCCCTAATACACAAAGATCGCGAACATTCTTTTTTCCTTCAATCGTTTTTAATGCTTTTCGGGAGGCTATTAATGTAGATTTTATGGCATCTGCACTAGTGTTTATCATCACTTTTGCAGAATTAATAATCTGTCTTAGACGTTGCTTCTCCCAACCCTTCCCCAATTTTCTCTTCAAACTCATTTTGAGGATTGATTTAACTTTCAAGATATTCGTAACTCTTAATGCAGCAGCTTATTTACTTTGAATTCGCGTTGTTAGCGAACTCTCTTTGCCAAGCTTTTTCAGCAAGCACTATACCAGCTTCGTTTCTCACTTCTACGTTTTCTCAATTTTCCGAATACGCAATGTCGTGCTCTTTAAATAAATGATGATGAATCTTTTACAACTGCTCCTCATTAGAGTAGAAAAAATTAAAAGGAAGATCTAAATCCCTAAAACTAAAGTTGCTATAAACGAAGAAAAAAGACAAATGCCAGAAGAGCTTTATAGAGCAGTGAGAAGAAGTTATCAACGACAACATGTGGGTATACGTCGTCTTGAGAAAACTTGGCAAGCTGATTTTGTTGATATTAATGCATATAAATCCCACAATAAAGGATATCAATATTTATTGGCAGTTATTCATATTTTTTCCAAATATGCGTGGTATATACTAATTGAGACCAAATATCAGTGCTCTGCAGTGATCCGGGTGCGACCCGAAAGGTCCACACGACCAACTTCCCAGTGGAAAAAATGAAAAAACACCTCGAATAGAACCTGTTTCCAACTGTTTGTAACAGATTCAATTATTATGAACAAAAAAAGTGAGTTTCTATTCATGTTATACGGTTGGTAGCTTTTTTTCAGTAAAAGAAAAAATTTGCGTCGGAAGAATTCAAATATATCGCATAGATCTTTTTTTTCATTATTTATAACAAATTTTATTGTTATAAACGAAAGAAGTATGTTTCCATTTATGTCATATGGTTGGTAACATTTTTTTAGTAAAAGAAAAAATTATGCGTCAATAGTACTCATATATATAGTATGGATCTCTTTTTTCATTGTTTATTTATAACAATTGAAAACTTTTTATTCAAATATTACCATGATCAATGATCATTTGTTACTAACAATGTGCAATTGTTATGGACACAATTCCATATTATTAACAATTATTATTGGCTATTATAGCGTCTTTAATGCTGTTTTCTCAATCCTGACACGAGTTTAAAATTCTTTCGTTGCTAATTTTGTTTTTTAAAATTTTTTTTTCGATGAAATATTGTCATCATATATTCATGCAAGTATTCTAATTATTTAATATTCACATTTTTTTTAAGATTTTAAAATTTTATTTAAAGAATAGTATAATTTATTATAAATTGCAAAATTCAGATCTATTTTTGATAGTTTTTTGGTTCTGCAAAAAAAATTGCTCAACCGATTTTGCTGAAAATCTGATCAGTTCCAAGTTACATGATTGCGCGTCGAATGCAATTGGTCCTACATCGATATGATTTTTGTTCTTGAGATAATCGACCAGGAAAATTCCGTGGAGATATGTCAAAATTCGGGATTCGCAAAATCGGACCCATTACTATAACTTCTCACTGGGAAGTTAATAAATAATCAGCTTTATAATGAACTGAGTAAATCTTACAACGTTTGCAATCTTTCTGTTATTGTACGATTCAACACGGCAACGCAATACAATGTAGATAATATTTCTTAAAACATAAATCATTAACTTCATAGTTAACTAAATAAACTAAGAACAATTAGACTTTTTGAAATATAAATAATTATTTTAATAGTTAACGAAGCGAATCTAATAACATTTACAATATTCTGTAATACCCCTAAACGGACATGAGTTCTTTCTTTTGCAAAACATCCACCATTTTTTCAAGTAACCATCATACTGCTCCATAGATGCACCAGTCAGGGAAGACAACATGATCTGGGCTGCTTCTTCGGGAACTCCTTTCAGTTCTTGAGCCTTGCGGATAAGATTCCCGCCACCAGGGTAATTTTCTTCCATAATAAGTGAGCTTTTCTGTCAAAGGAAGTCAATGAACTACAACTTAACTCTAAATATGAGGGTTTAGATTCTAACATAGAGAAATATACTGGATACCACGCTTGAGGTGGCCATTTCGGGACTACCACAATACCTCTACCATTCTCTGCTTGAATTTTGCGTAACACCTTAAGAATAATTGAAAACGGAGGAAAGGCGTGAACGAAATGTTTATTTCAATTGATAGTAAACGCATCAACCGTAAGTGCGTCAGGATATCTTGTCCAAGATACATAAACCTTGCATTTAGCATTTGATCTAGATACAAAGAGGTCAGTTTCTGGATTACCTAACTTGCTAACTATTTCTTGAAACCTTAAGGACAACAATGAGTATTCAGTTTCCGGTTCCAACTTTCTTTACTCAAATCCTTGCTTCCCCCGTCCGAAGGGGAACGTAACAAGCCCGAGGCTTTACGACATACCACTACGAGTCCGACCTCAATCGGCCAGTTGTACCTCGTCTTACATGTCATATTTTGACTTTGCAGCCCCAGGCACAGGACTTGGAATTTGGCCTCCCGTAGTACCAATTTCATCCGCTTTGGTTGG